ATTTTCGGCCTCGGAGGGCCCTATACCGGGCCTCGGGGCCGTCACAGAACACGACTCGGGAGGAGAAGCCGGTCCCGGGGACTGGGTCTGGACCCCTGGGGGTCGCGCCGTGAAAAAATCATGACGTCGGGGGTCTGGGTCCCCCTCCCCTACAGGAAGAGGCAGGCCAGGCCGCCGGCCTCCGCGGCCGTCACGGCCTCGGCCGCCACGGCCGCCTCGGCCGCGGCGGCCGCCTCCGCCGCCGCGGCGCCCTCCGCGGCGGCCTCCGCGGCGGCGATGCCGTCGGCGACGGCCGTGGCCTCCGCGCCCGCCGCCGCGTCCATGGCGGTGGCCCCGGCCTCGACGACGAGCGGGTCGGCCGCCGCGGCGGCGGCGGCCTCCGCCGCGGCGCCGCCGCCCCCGAGCAGCGCCGCCAGCCCGAGGAAGGAGGAGCTGGCCAGCCCGACGCAGGAGGAGCAGGCCGTGGAGGCCACGAGGCCGCAGGCCGACATGAGGGCGGAGCCCAGGGCCACCGCGCAGGACACCGCGCCGGCGCGGCAGCACGGGCACGCCACGAGCAGCAGCAGGAGCGCGTAGGCGGCGCAGGCGAGCCACTCCGTGGGGGGCATCAGCGGCAGGCACGCGGCGAAGGGCAGCCGCACGTGCGGGACGCCCAGCTGGTCGGTGATCCAGCCGCCGCCGAGCTCGTCGGAGCACGGCCCCAGCATGGGCGGCCAGCCCCAATACCACGAGACGCCGGCGAAGAAGGCCCCCGTCAAGACGGCGCCCTGGATCCGCTTCCGCGCCGTGGCGCGGAGTGATCTTGTCCCCAGAGGCGCACCCCCCGCACAGACCAACCGGTGACGCATCAGCTGGCACCGTGGCTCAAATCGCAGTGTCGGCGGAAGCATGAGACCGAGCTGGGAGAAGGAAGGAATGAGGAGGAGGAGGAGGAGGAGGAGGAGGAGGAGGAGGAGGAGGAGGAGGACGAGGAGGAGGAGGAGGAGGAGGAGGAGGGAGGAGGAGGAGGGAGAGGTGGGCAGCAGGCACCCTAGTCGTTGCAAGGCGCGGTTGTTGCCGCGCTGTGCCACGGTTGGGTGCGACCTCCTCTTACCACCTCCGCGCTCTGCGAAGCATTCAGTAGCCCCTCTCGGGAGCTGGGCGAGGGCTGCTAGAACCCGGGCTGCTAACACGGCCCTCCCGGAGGGAAAAAACAAACTTCCCGGAATGAGGCGCGGCACGCGAAACAGTCGACGGGCTTCTTCCCGGAAGGACGAAGACAGCTTCCTGGAGGTCGATTTTCGCAGCCACGGATTTGGCAGCCCTTGCCCGGCTTCCGACCCTCCCCACTACCACCACGTCGAGGCCGACATGCACTGTGTTGTTGATCAATTCCCCAAGGCCTTTACCTTCCGCGGCGATGCGGTGCACATGAAGTCTGGAGCTGTGCTCCCGGCAGCCAGGACCGCGGGCCCCTCCAGCACACTGTGCCAGCCATCCCCCTGGCCACCCCCACGGTGTGGCGGCACCTGTGCGCGGCAGCGCGTGTGAATACATGGGTTCTGGACACAGCAACATAATCTCCTGCAGCAAGAGGCGGCGCAGGTGTCCCTCGCCTCCCGCTCTGTGTCTGAGCATCCCAGCTTTACACACTGCCGGCACCATGCGGAGGCGACGCACGTGTACAGGAAGGCCACCGCCAGCGAGAACGACCAGCTCAGGGGCGAGAACAAAAGCCCCAGTGCGCCCTCCTTAACGAGGGATATAAAAGTGGGCCTCTGGATGTCGATATCGCACACGCCGCCTCCGATCAGGATGCCCACAGAACCGTTGTCCAGGGTGCAATCTTCGGCGACCTGATAGGACGCGGCCCCGTCCCAGTCGGCCACTGGTATGAGGCACGGCCTGTCGTACAGGTTGCAGTAGCGAGTCTGGTTAAACCAGTCCACTGCCGAACAATTCTCCGCGGCCTCGCAGAGCTGCTGGCAACCGGCCAGGCTGTGAGCGTTGCCCCGCATGAAGGGCTCTGGGCCGCCGCCTTCGTCCAGGCTCTGCTCGCAGCCCCTGCTCGGGTGCGTGGGGATCCAGAACACGTTGCTCAGCGGGCCCCAGAGCAGCAGCCCCTGGGTGATGGCCACGAGCAGGAGCAGCTTGCAGAACCACGAGCACGTGAGGCGCGAGAAGCACAGCCGGACGCAGTCCTTCTGGGCCTCGGGGTGCGCCTCCGCAAGCACCACGGTGGCCAGCGCGGCCCTGGTGGGGAGCGCGCTGGTGCTCCTCAGCACGCGCTGCGTGCCCAAGATCACGCGCTCCACAGCCCCGGCCTCCTCGCTGTCCTCCATGCTGCTGTCCTCCTCGCTGCCCGCCGGCTCCAGCTTCCTTGAAGGGGTCCAGGACACACAAATAAATACACACAAAAAAAAGTATTCACCATATTTTCCCATATTTTCTGGGTTTCTGTCTTCCCCCCCACTTCCCAGGTTTTCCTATATCTTCCTGGGGATCGACGATTACTTCTGTCTGTGTGTTTTTCCCCCCCTGATTCCTGCACGAGGCCGCGGAGGCCCTGTGGGGCGCCAGGTCCGGGTCCGACCGGGGCAGCTTGGCGTACTCCGCGGAGCCCGTGCGCGGCGCGGCCCACGCGCCCAGGTACCCGCACGCCCCCTGCGCCAGCACGGGCTGCGTCGGCGCCGCGGCGCCCGACTGCGCAGCCGCCCGCGCGCCGGGGCCCCCGGGCAGCGCCGGCGCCGTCGGCAGCCCCGCGGCCGCCGTGGGCAGCGACGCGGCGGGCGGGAAGGCCCAGCCGCCGCGGGCGCCGGCGCACCCGCCGCGGTGGGCAGCGGCGCCGCCGCGGGCCCGGGCAGCTGCTCCAGCGTGGGCAGGCTGGCCCAGGCGAGGCGCGCCGGCAGCCGGGCGGCGGCGCGGCGACCCTGCCCGTCGGCAGCGGCGGGGGCATGGCCGCGGGGCCGCCGCGCGGGGCGCGCGGGCGCCGGCGGGGGGCAGGCGCCCTCGGCCAGCAGCTGCGCTAGGGAGCAGCCACGGCTTCCGCTCCGCCCCATCCGTCCCTCGCGCTCCGCGTCTCTCCTCTTGCCGCCCCGTCCCCTGCCCGCCTGTTTCCCCGTTCCCCTAGGGCACCACTCCACCTCTTGGTCCCCCACCCCCGTCGTAGACCATCACCTTCCACCGCCTCGGCCTACTCCTGGTCCCTCCACCTCGTCCTCGCTCTCCCTCCCGCAGACTTTCACGCCCTCATCCTCATCGCCTTGTTCGTTCATTCGTTCTCCTCCTCCTCGTCCTCCTCCTCCTCCTCCTCCTCCTCCTCCTCCTCCTCCTCCTCCTCCTCCTCCTCCTCCTCCCCCTCCTCCTCCACGTCCTCCTCCACGTCCTCCTCATTCTCCCATGTCTTCTGCGTCCCCCTCCCGATTCCTGCCTCGATCTTCCCCTCCCTCCGAATCGGTGGTAAGACCGTGCACGAATCCCGTTCGCTCTGGTCAGTTGTGATTACTAAGTGCTCGCTTGGGCAGCTGCACGAGCACAGGGGAAAGCTCCACCAGCTTCCGGTCCCTTGCCCAGGGGGTCTGGCTTCAGACAGTGTATAAGGGAGGCGCTGCGCAGGCTTCCGAACTGCCTAACCCCAAATGCTGCGGCCAAGCTTGCGCCCTCGGGTGACCCGATTGATGGAGGATGACGATTAATAAATGACAGGGGGTCGTGTTCACGCGGCGGCGCCCGGGATGACGATTAGAAAAAACTGGCCGCGGGCTGGAAAGCTATTCTTTTCATCGTTCTCCTCCAGTTAGAAAATTGTGCAGAAATAGCAGGGAACTATGTTTTAAATCGTTCTCTCCCATGTTTTTATTAATAGTCATCCCGCATTAAACCTTCAGTTCCCCGCCCAAGTAGACGGGCACGCCCTCACAGGTAGAGAAGCTCGGTCTCAAGGGCCGCGGCGTGTCTTGCTGCTGCTGATGCTGCCACGACCGCGTCCCCTCAGCGGGGCCGATCCCTCGCCCACGTTTTCTCTTTCCTCCCTCCACCCTTTCCTCCTGCCTCCTCCTGACCCACTTCTTTCTCTTCCTCCTACTCCTCTTCCCTCCCTCCTCCCTCCCTCTCCCTCCCTCCTCCCTCCTGCCTCGTCCGTGCCGTTCCCCTCTCATCCTCCTCCTCCCCTATTGAACCTTGGACTCCTGTCTTCCCTACATGTTTTTCGAGGAAACGCCGGAACTCACCTTTTCCTCGAATGGCGAAGTGGCGACACCGTCACGATGCGCTAAGCCGGGTGGGTCATGCTAAAGCACATTACCACCTGGCGTGGCAGATGGGTGGACCGGTTGGGGCAGTCACATGCAGAAAAAGACCGCGCAGGCGGATAGACGCGGAGAAGGCCGAGGCGATCATCCAATGCAGAGACAGGACCGGCCAGAACGAGGCGGAGAAAAAAAGTGTGTAGCGACTGCGGGAGCTGTACCCGCAGGCAGCGGCATCTCAGAGCCAGCGCAGAGCGGAAGCGGGCACAGGAGCCGCCCACGGGCAGACAGGCCTGGACGAAACAGAGACACGACTGCTCCCCTCCCAGACATGCGACGTCCTGATTTGTGCAGGACGGCGTCCCCGCAAGTCCCGACCCTCTCCCCGGGGGTGGTTTTCCATCCTGCGTCGTTCTTGGAAGGTCCCGAGGTCCGGCGAGGGCCCCCCCGGGGCCGAAAATGGCCAACCCTGAGATCCTGGCGTTGCATTTTTTTTGCAACGGGCGTTTTCGCTCGATTTCGGGCCCCAGGACCCTCACATATCGATCGGGCTCGAAAAACGACGCGGAAAAATGAGGTCCGGGTCTCCGGGCGTGATTTTTGCGATGTTGTATTTCCCTACCTATAGGCTCTGCCTAGAAGGGTTCTTACTCTCTTTGCTTAAAGGGCCGGGCAATGCTAACCGCCCTGGGCGGTTCCCCCAGTCCCCGCCCCGCGGTTCCCCCAGTCCCCTGGGAGCTTTAGCCTTAGCTTTAGCTTTAGCTTAGCTTTAGCTTTAGCTTTAGCTTAACTTTAGCTTAGCTTTAGCTTATATTTAGATTTAGCTTAGCTGTCGCTTAGCTTCAGCTTAGCGTTAGCTTACATTTAGCTTAGCTTTAGCTTAACTTTAGCTTAGCTTTAGCTTATATTTAGCTTTAGCTTTAGCTTAGCGTTAGCTTAGCTTTAGCTTAGATTTAGTTTAGCTTTAGCTTAGCTTCAGCTTAGCTTTAGCTTAGCTTTAGCTTAGTGTTAGCTCAGCCTTAGCTTAGCTTTAGCTTAGCTTCAGCTTAGCTTTAGCTTAGCTTTAGCTTAGCTTTACTGTTACTACTAATGCTGCTTTCCTAGGGGCTCCAACTCCTAGGTAGGGTCGCACTGGGATAATTTTTGTTGCAACGTCGGATCTCAGGGAAAGACCTCCCGTCCGGATTTTCTCACGACGCGACCATGCCTGGGCTTGGAGTGGCGAGGCCGGGAGCAGCGGCAGCGGACGGCCGGGGGAGGAGGCGGGTGGACGCGAGCGGCGCGAGCCGACCGGCGGAGGGGGGGGAGCCGAGGGGGAAAGAGGAGGCACACCGCGCACCACGAGGGCAAATGCCGTGCACGAGGCGGGGAGGGAGCCGGCCGAGGAGGGGGGGGAGGGAGGAGGCACGACGCAGAAGCAGGGCGGGGAAGGCGAGGAGAGGAGATGTTCAACGACGGCACGATCGCAGAAGCAGGCTGCCGGGAGGAAGGCACGACCGCAGAAGCAGGGGGGGGGGGAGGGGAGGAGGCACGACGCAGAAGCAGGGGGGGGGAGGGAGGAGGCACGACGAGAAAGCAGAGGGGGGGGAAGGAGGAGGAAGCCCACGGGCAGGCGGAGTTTCGCCCAAGGGGCGGGCACGAGAAGGCCGTGCCTCGGGTCAGGGGGGGCGGGGGGGGAACGGCGGGGGGGGTTGGAGGGGGACGGCGGCGGACGAGGAAGGGAAGAGCGAGGAGGGACAGAAGTGGGGCGGGGGGGAGGACGCGCGGAGGACCCCCCCCCCGCGTGGGGAGGCGGAGGACGGTTGAGCCCCCGCAGGAAAGGAAGAGGGCATGCGGACCCCCCCCCGTGGAGGAGGACCAGGGCATGCGGACACACACACACACACATACTCACACACACAAACACACACACACACACACACACACACACACGCACATACACGCACACCAAACACACACATACACACACACACGCACACCAACCACACACACACACACACGCACACACACACACAGCCACCACACACACACGCACACACTACACACACAACACACACACGCACACACACACACACGCACACACACACACACACACTCACGCAGGCACGCACGCACGCACGCACGCACGCACGCACGCACACATATACACACACACACACACCACACACACACACACACTCACGCAGGCACGCACGCACGCACACACGCACGCACGCACGCAAGCACACACACACACACACTCACGCAGGCACGCACGTGTGCACTTGTTTGGGCGTCGCGGCCACACGCACGGCGGCGCGGCAGACCGGAGGGTTCCCAAGAAACTGTTTTGGGGGAGGGGGTTTTCCGGGAGGAATCCCCCAGGGGCTGCGCACCCCCTGTCTTGACGAGGCTCGCAGGCCCCATGGGGGGGCTCCCTGGAAAACCCCCTCCCCCCAAAACCCCCCTTCCGAACCCTCCGGGCAGAGTCCAGGCAAGGCAGGGGCGGGGTGGGGGCCGGGCCGGATCGCACAGCGGTGGCAAGCCAAGTCCCCCCCATAGGGGGGCCACGCAGCACCACTCGCGAGAGGGGGCAGTCGCGAGGGGGCAGTCGCGAGGGAGGGGGCACGCGGCGGGGTGCGGAAATCAGGTGCACCAGCGGCAGGCCAGGCCGGAGTCGGCAAGCGAGGCGCAGGTGGCGGACGAGCTGCAAGCAGCGGCTGCATGGTCACGTGCGCGTCGCGCGCAGCACGGCCGAGCCTGCGAGGGAAGCGGCGCGGAGACGCAGGCCAGGACGACGCGAGTTGGCGCCTCTAGGACCGAAGCAGAAGGCGGGCACACTTTGAAATCAACGGCGTAGGAGGGTCCTCGAGCGCGGGCTGCAGGTGGAAGTGCAAATTGCGATCGAGCGTAGTCGGAAGCACAGTGAACGAAACGTCAGACACGCACACACACACACACACACACTTGCACACACGCACACACGCACACAAACACACACACACACACGCACAAACACGAACACACGCACAAACACGAACACACATACACTCACACGCACACACCTCCAGATCAGGGACAAAGGCAAGAGGCTGGAGGATGGAAGGGAATAAAGAAAGGGATGCGGGGAGGGGATGGGGGGAGGGACGGACGGAGAGAGGAAGGGAGCAAGCTAGGTTCGCTCGCGCCATGTCTGACATCCGATGCCTCCCTTCCATCCCTTCACATTGCGTTTTTTTTCTCTATCCGCGGACGTGTGCCATAGCCGAACTGGAACTCCCCAAAGAGACCCCTTATCGTGTTATGCACAGTTGAAAAAGGGAAACTTGTGCGACCTGTGCAACCCGGGGGGCCTCTGTAGCCTGTGGGGCCTGTGAGACATGCGACACCTGTGGAACCTGTGGGGCCTGTGGGATCTACGGGAACTGTGGGACCTGTGAGACCTGCGAGACCTGCGGGACCCGTGACACCTGCTTGACCTGCGGGACCTGGCGGTCTTCTGTCGGACCTATGAGACATGCGACACCTGTGGGGCCCGTGGGACCTGCGAGACCTGTCGGACCTGTGGGACCCGTGGTGCATGTGGGACCTGCGACACCTGTGGGACCTGTGGAACCTGTCAGTCCGGTGGCGACACTTGTGGATCCTGTGGGATGGAACGACAGGGCAGCGACAGGGCAGGGGAAAAGAAGGGGAGTAGTCAGAAAGGGGGAGAGGATGGAAAGAGACTGGAGTGGACGTTGATGAAGAGGGAAACCCAGCAGAGGTTTTAAAGAGGGGATAATAAGGAGAAGCGAGAATGGGAGTGGGATACCTCAAGCTTGCTGGTCTGGCCACTGGGGTACGCCCAAGTCCGCCACTAACTGCCCCTGTGTCGCCCACGCCCCACTCGTCCTCTTCAGCCCCATCGTCGTCGTACTTCTTCTCCTCTTCCTTCTTCCCCGCCCTCCTCCTCCACCTTCCGTTTCTGTTCCTCCCTCTCCTCTCTCTCGTTCTCATCCTTATCACCTGGCAATGAAGAGATCGATGAGGACGAGCAAAAGAGGACGACAACGCTGACGATGATTATGACGACGACAAGATTTTTTTTAATAAAAAAACGAGGACTGTTACAATGACGGCGACGAGCATGACGACTCCGTCGACGATGGAACAACGACCAGGACGAGGACAGACCATTGTGTCGCCTCCGCCGACGGCGACGCAAAGCGAAAAGCAATGCCGACGGAAACGACGAGGAGGAGACCGGCGACGGCGCACGACGACGGCGACAACAACGGCGAGCGACGACGACGAACCACGGCGGCGAACGACGACGGCGACGGCGACGACGACGGCGGCGGCGACGACGGCGACGGCGACGGCGACGGCGCACGACGACGGCGACGGCGAGCGACGACGACGAACGACGGCGGCGAACGACGACGGCGACTGCGACGACAACGGCGGCGGCGACAAAGGCCACGGAGCCTCGTCCTCCTCCTGCGGCTGCGGCGGGGCGGCGGGCTCCGGCGGAGCGGCCGCGGGCTGCGCGGCCGCCTGGCGGCCGGAGGCTGTCGTCGTCGCCGCCGCCGCCGCCGTCGTCGTCGTCGTCGTCGTCGTCGTCGTCGGCGTCGTCGTCGTCGGCGTCGTCTTCGTCCTCGTCGGCGTCGTCGTCGTCCTCGCCTTCGCCCTTCGCCCTCGTCGGAATCGCCTGCGTCCTCGTCGTCGTCCGTCTCCTCATCCACCCCCCCCTCCTCTCCTCCCCCCCCTCCCCCTCCTCCTCCTCCTCCTCCTCCTCCTCCTCCTCCTCCTCCTCCGCCTCCTCCTCATCCCTCCTCCTCCTCCCCCTCCTCCCCCTCCTCCCCCCTCCCCCTCCCCGCTCCTCCTCCTCCCGCTCCTCCTCCTCCTCCTCCTCCTCCTCCTCCTCCTCCTCCTCGCCCTCCTCCTTCCCCTCATCGCCCCATCCCTCCTCTCTCCTGGCAGCCGTGCCCTTCCCGCGCACGCCCGTCTCGAGAACGTGCCGGGCCCTGGGCACCGGCCTTGCGACACAGGTCGGCGTCGACCGCGCCACGGAGGAGGAGGAGGAGGAGGAGGAGGAGGAGGAGGAGGAGGACAAGGATCAGGATGAGGACAAGGACAAGGACAAGGACAAGGACAGAGGAGGAGGAGGAGGAGGAGGAGGAGGAGGACAAGGACAGGACAAGGACAAGGACAAGGACAAGGACAAGGACATAGGACAGAGGAGGAGGAGGAGGAGGAGGAGGAGGAGGAGGAGGAGGAGGAGGAGTCCCCCCCGAGCCGACGAGCTGGCGAGTTGGGATCAACGTAACTGACGCTCCGGCCGCCTGTCGGGCGTTGGCAGAACGGGGTTCAGTGGGACCTGGTTTACTGATATGTACTGGGGGAAGTCCCCCCCGCCCCGGGGCCCGTTCCGCTAACTGGAACTGCCGTCTCCCGAAAAAACACCAGCTACGGCAGACCTGGTTTAGTGATTCTGGCCAATTGAAGGGCTCAGGGGCCCTACCACTAACCGGGTCGCCTTACCTGGGGTCCTGGCCATACCCGCGCCACACGCCCTGCACCGTGGACTGGGAGGAGGAGGAGGAGGAGGAGGAGGAGGAGGAGGAGGAGGAGGAGGAGGAGGAGCGGGAAGGCGTGCCACCTGACGCGACGGAGTTCGGGAGGATGAAAGCCCGCTTCATGATGGACTTACGCAAGGGTGGCGTGAACGATCTTCTCCCAGATGTGGGCGTGACTTATTGCACAGTGGAACGGGCAGTCGACATGCTTTCCGCTGGGTCGTCGATGTACGTGATCGACCTGCAGGACTCGTTTTTAAACTGGAGGATCACAGACAAAGACACTTATTCGTTGGGGTTATACTCCAATGTCCGCCGGGCATACGGGAAGTCCGATTACCTTCCGTTTGGTCTGAAGCCCGCTCAGGGCACGAACGCTTCGTCCGTGAAAGAGAGTATTCGCATTCTCCTGGCCAGAGAAGCCGTGCCTCTTCTCGATTTTTTCGACGACTTCCTTGGGTTCGCAGACGCCGAGGAGGAAGCGTGGTTGCGCAAGGCCGTGCGCTTCTTCATCCAATGCGGTATCCCGGTGAATGCGAAACCCACGCGGGTTCGACCCCCCAAGCCAACGGCAGGTTTGGATTGGGTTAGGAAGGCACCAACTATACACCAACACCGATCCTGGCCAGGATCACCCTGGGCCCAGGATCGGTGTATACGCCCTCCTGCCTTGCGCAAGAAGGCATATACACCGATCCTGGGCCCAGGGTGATCCTGGGCCAAGATCGGTGTTGGTGTATAGTTGGTGCCCTCTGATGGGCGGGTTGTTGATGCAGCTCGTCGCGTAGCAACAATCTCCGCAAAGAAATGCGAGCGCTGCCGGGCACTGTGTTTAGAGCTGACTGCCGCGAACCGCCGCCGATCTCTGAGGACGAGACTGAAGGGGCCCACAAACACACAAATAAACGCACACAAGTAAAAAGATTCCCCATATTTTCCCATATTTCCTGGGTTTTTGTCTCCCCCCCCCCAATCTACATATTTTCCCATATTTTCCTGGGGATCGACGATTAATTGTGTCTGTGTGTTGCTTCCCCTCCTGAGAGACAGCTGGCCGCCGCTGCAGGCTTCGCATCCCGCGTAGCAGACATCTGGCTGTTGTGGGTGGACATGGATTCCACAAGCGTGTACGCTCTCTGGCAGTCCCAGCCAGGCGCCGACCCTGCAGTTCATCCTTCACCTTTGAGCCTGCAAAGCCTCGATTGGCTGCATCGAGCGTTAGAGTCTCCGCCAGTGCGTTCCCTGCACTGTGCCGGGGGACCCCTTTCTGCTTGGGGACACATGTCGCCAGAGTTCCTCAGTTGGCGGTCCTTGGCCAGTGAGGGGCTCATTCAAATAGTCGGGACAGATGCGTCCAAACTCGTCGGTTGGCCGTGTCACGTCTGCGCTGATGGCCGGGTTGTGTCCGGCGTTTGCCCGGACGACTTCGTGCTCGAAGAAGGCCACCTGGGCGCCGTTGACATCAATTACAAGGAACTCAGAGTCGCTCTGCTAATGCTCGTTGCGCGAGGGGCAGGCGTTTGCAGGGTGGCGGGTTCTCTTGCGCATGGACAACACGGCGGCCGTTCGCTATGTGAACATACGGTGCGACAAGATACCGTCCTTAGAAGATGTTGCCGGCCGGTTCGAGACTGCTGAATGCGTGGCGCGTTGAAGGGCGCTCGCCGTGCATCTTCGCGGCGTTCACAAACCCATCGCCGATGGTGGTTCTCGCTCTCCAAGCTCTGCGCTGGTTTGGGCGGCGTGCCCCTTCCGCGACACGAGCCTGCGTCGCGATCTCTTCCGGGAGGTGGAGTCGCGAAGCAATGTCTCCTGTACATTTGACCTCTTCGCTGACCTTGCGGGCTTGTCGGCGCTCGCACCCAAGTGGTGTTTCCTGGAACTGACTGCGTTCGAGCAGGATTTGCGGGGTCACGTAGTTTGAGCCCACCCACCCAGGGCGATTATACGTGCTATGCTGGAGCATTTCGCCCGAGAGGCCGCGGGTGTTTGCGAAACCCGCATCGTTATCCTGATTCCTGGAGATACGTCAGCGCCTTGGTTCTGCGTGTCGTTGCTGCGGCCCAGGCATCGCGTCCGCTCGTGGCAGGCGGGTTCCGATATTTTCTGGTGGGTTGTCGCCGCCGGCCGAAGGCTTGGGGTAATCCTTGGGTAATCCCCCTCCTCTTCTCCTCGTCTGCACCCCTACGCTCCTCCTCCGTCTCCGCCTCCTCCTCCGCCCTCCTTAGTCGACGTGTCAGGGTAGGAGGTTTGTCGGCCTCGCTCTGAGGCTCCGCCGCTTCCTCCCTCCTCTTCTCTGCCTAATTCAAGCTTCGCGCCGCCCGCTTAGCTTCGACCGGAAGAGGTGCGCTCTCGACCCGCGGATCAAAAAGTCAGGGTATAGAGGTCTGTCCACCCCCTAACTGCTGGCCCTGTCCACCCCCGACGTAATGATTTTTTCATTACGTCGACCCCCAGAGGTTTAGACCCTTTCCCCATGACGGGCTTTGCATCCTGAGTCGTTTTTTGACGCTCCCGAGGCCCGGTGAGGGCCCCCGGAGGCCGAAAATTAGGAAAAACACCCCGTCATGATTTTTTCATTACTCGAGGGGGCCTGGGTCTGTCCACCCCCGAACTGCTGGCCCTGCTCCCCCTCGCGGACACGAGCGCCCCGCGGCGTGCGCCCAGAGAACGCGCCCAGGAAGGCCCGGCCGACCGAGGCCTGGGCCCAGCGCGCGCGTCCCTCTCCTGCCGCCGCGGCGTGCGAGAGGCGACCGGGAGCTGCGGGAAGCGCACGATGTGGAGCCGTCGGCGCTTGCTCGGCAGCGGCCACCCCAGACCTCCTCGAGTCGTGAAAAAATCACGACGGGAAGTTTTTCGCTATTTTCGGCCTCTGAGGGCCCTCACCGGGCCTCGGGACCGTCAAAAAAGACTCGGGATGAAAAACCGGTCCCGGGGAATGGGTGTGGACCTCTGGGGGTCGCGTCATGAAAAAATCATGACGTCGGGGGTCTGGGTCGGGAGCGGCCACGAGGGGGGCGTCCAAGAGGGGGGGGGCGCAAATCATAGCCGGCGGCATGCGCGCGGCCCAGCGGGGGGGCCAGGGGACGCAACGAAACAAGCAGAGGCACCAGGAGATCTCGGGAAACATCGTGGCCCCCGCCATGAAGTCCACCCCCCCCTGGTCCTCACCCCCCTCTTTGCCGCCCCCGACTTGCTCCAGTGGATCAAGCCGTCCTGCTCCAGGACTTCGGCGTCGACTTGAGCCTCGGCGAGTGCGCCTGGCAGACGGGAGGGGGCGAAGTCCCGGTCCGCCGGCGAGGAGCGCGCCGTCGAGGCAAACGCGGACGCCCCCCGCAAAGCCGCCCGGTCGGGCGGTGCTTCTGGCGGTGCTCCCCTGGCCGCAGGGCAGTCGAGCCGGCTGTTGTCGGGAGCGGCCAAGAGGGGGGTGTCCAAGAGGTTGGGGTGCAAATCATGACCGGCGGTATGTGCGCGGCCCAGCGGGGGGGCCAGGGACGTAATGAAGTAAGAAGAGGCGCCATAACATCGGAGGGAATATCATGGCCCCCGCCATAATATCCACACCCCCAGGACGCCGGCGATCCCGCTTCGAGGGGGGGGGGTCCGCAGGGTTCTGGATAATTGAAATATAGGAAAGGAAGTATTGATGTATGTATGCATGCATGCAAACATGCATGTATGTATGTATGTATGTATGTATGTATGCGTATGTATGTATGTATGTATGTATGTATGTATGTATATGTGTATGTATGTATGTATGTATGTATGTATGTATGTATGTCTGTAAGTATGTATGTATGTATGTATGTATGTATGTATGTGTGTATGTATGTGTGTATGTATGTATATATGTATGTATGCATGTATGTATGCATGTATGTATGTATGTGTGTATGTACGTATGTACGTATGTATGTATGCACGTATGTAAGTATGTATGTATGTATGTATGTATGTATGTGTGTATGTATGTATGTATGTATGTATGCATATATATATATGTATATACGTATGTATACGTGTATGTATGTATGTATGTATGCACGTATGTACGTATGTATGTATGTATGTATGTATGGTTGTATGTATGTGTGTATGTATGTATAGATCAATACGTGTATACATACACGCACATATGTACATACATACATGTATGCGTGCATATACACATATATGTATGAACACATACATGTAAATATGTGTGTATATGTATGGATCGACCTATGTATAGATATACACATGTTTATGCCAATAGATTTACTTACATCTGAATATGTATAACATACGAGTGGCACGTGCGTACCCAGGTTCATACAAACGCATGTGCTGGATGCGTGTGTGTTATGTGTATGCGTAGGGTTTGTGTTATGTGTGCTGTGTACTGTGTGCGTGTGTTCTTTGTTGTGCGTGTGCTGTGCGTGAGCTATTTGTGGGTCATCTGTGTGTTCTACATGTTATGTGTTAGGTGTGTTGTGTGCGTTGTATGTGTGTTGCGTGTGTGTTATGTGCGTGAGTGCTCTGTGTGTGAGTGCGTATGTGTGTGTGCGTGTTCTGCGTGTTATGTGTGCGTTGTGTGTTGCTTGTGTTGGCCGTGTTGTGTGTGATGTGTGTGTGTGTGTGCGCGCGCGTGTGTGTGTGTGTAATGTGTCTTCTCTCTATGTGCGAGGTAGGTGTAGTGTGGGTGTGCTCTGTGTGTGTGGTGCATTTTGTGTGGTGTGTGTGCTCTGTGTAAATTATGTGTGCTGTACGTCGGGGCTCGATGTCGGGAGGATGTCTCAGACGAAAGCGCCCGTTTCTAAGAATCGCATCGAAAAAGGCCTCGATGATTGGAGGATGTCGCAAGCGAAACGTTTTCAACGAATCGGGCTTGAACATTTTATGATACAATGGTTGAAGATGGCTGTTTGTTGGACCGTGACGTCGCAATCTGCGTGAGGGGTGCCACCGACTTCCATAAGCTTGAAGATGTCCCGAGCGAAACTGCCAGGAAGATCTCGAACGGGACGTGAATTATCGCCTCTGAGCTCTGCTCCCTTTGCGAGGTGCGTCTGATAAAATTTATATGTATTGATGCATATACATATATATATACACATACATACATACGTATTGATAAGCAGGTGGCTGTCGCGTGCATATTGTGCTCATGCGTCCTTTTCATAAATCAAGTTTGTGATGTTGACGCATGTTCCCGCGTGTGTGCGATCGCATGCTACCAAGACTCTGATGCCGTGCTGCCCGCTCTTTTGTTGCGCCTCTATGTCATGCTTCGTCGGGGTAGCACTTCCTTGATGATGGGGTCGCTCGAAACAGAACGCCTTGTAACGTGCCAAAGCCTTGGAAATCGGAACGTGCGCGCGCACGATCGCGCACCCCTATGTCGGCACTCGCCTGCGCTCGACGCAATAATGAAAACTGAACGGCAACGAAGTGCCAGCACGGAAAACATGGGCGGACACGGGAAAGGGCATCCTCGGCTGGAGCAGCGCGTTCAGCACCGTCGCCCGCCCGCTCGGGAAGCTCGCAAGCATCTCTCACCAGCTGCTCAACTGCGTCACCCGACCCGACCCGACCCCACGGCGCCCTCCCCCGATAGAAGGGCCGGCCTCCCCCGCTCAGACCGGCACGTCTGGGTACACCTTTGGAAGACTCCCGCATGAGGTCCCAGCAGAGAAGGTCGGAGGATCGCGCCGCATCGCCAGTGCACCGCCGGTGCATCGGCGATGCTTTGACGCCGTCGGCGTGGAGGCGCATCGAGAGGGAGGCGGAGGAGGAGGAGGAGGAGGCGGAGGAGGAGGAGGAGGAGGAGGAGGGGAGGAGGAGGAGGAGGCATCGCCGAGGCACCGGCGATGCGGCGCGGCCCCCCGAGCCCACCGCGCTCGGACCCCCTCTGGGAGGCCCCGAGCCTTGGGCACCCTGGCCAGGTCGGCGTCGCGCTGCCCCTCGTAGGTGTCGGGAGCGGCCAAGAGGGGGGGGCCCAAGAGGGGTGTGTGCAAATCATGACCGGCGGCATGTGCGCGGCCCAGCGGGGGGGCCAGGGACGTAATGAAACAGGAAAGGGCGCCATGAAATCTGGGGAGAAATCATGGCCCCCGCCATGATATCCACCCCCCCCTAGTCATCACCCCCTCTTTTCCGCCCCCGAAGGTGGCGACATCCGAACCCCATCTCCGCCGATCGCCGGTTCGCCCGAGTGGAGGAGGAGGCGGAGGCGAGGCTCGGACTCCGCCCACGCGCCCGACGCGCTCCGAGCCCTACCCCCGCCGACCGCCGACTCCTTCGAGCCGTGCATCGGCGAAGGTAGGAGGAGGAGGAGGAGGAGGAGGAGGAGGAGGAGGAGGAGGAGGAGGAGGAGGAGGAGGAGGAGGAGAGGGGGGGGAGGAGGAGGAGGAGGAGGAGGAGAGGAGGAGGAGGAGGAGGAGAGGAGGGGGAGGAGGAGGAGGAGGAGGAGGAGGAGGACGAGGAGGAAGACGAGGACGTGGATCGGCGAAGGCAAGGCCCGGACGTCGCCGCCCACCTCGCCCTTCGCGAAGCTGAGCTCCCGCCGCGCCGCGGCGCAGCCCCAGCCGGCCGCCGCGGCCACCGCGGCCGCCGCCGCGGGCCCGACGGCGGCCCCCGTCGCCTGGTGGGTTTTTTTTCCACCGCCACCACCATGTGTAGGGGGGAGGAGTCCTCCTCCTCCTCCTCCTCCTCCTCCTCCTCCTCCTCCTCCTCCTCCTCCTCCTCTCCCTTCCCCTCTCCAACTTATGGTGGTGGTGGTGGAAAACAGGCCCATCAGTCGCCCCCCGCCGCGCGGCCAGCAGCGCCAGCAGCCCGCTGAGGAGGCCCAGCGCGCGCGAAGCGGCGCCCAGGCGGCGGAAGGCCCGCAGCAACCCCGGCACCAGGGCGGTGCTCTGCCGCGGGGGGGCAAGAGAGCAGTGGCACAGCCAGGGACTTCCGGAGGCCCGCGCGGACTTTTCTGGCATCGGCGCCATGGGGCCCCCCCCCCTCCTCCTCCTCCTCCTCCTCCTCCTCCTCCTCCTCCTCCTTCCTCCTCCTCCTCCTCCTCCCTCATCCTTCCTTCTCCTCCTCCTCCTCCTCCTCCGCCTCCTCCTCCTCCTCCTCCTCCTCCTCCTCCTCCTCCTCATCATCATCATCATCATCATCATCATCATCATCATCATCATCATCATCATCATCCCTGGCGCGCGGAGCGCGCCATGGGGCGGCTTCGGAGGCGCCGCCCGGGGGCGAAAAGTCCGCGCGGACTTCCCGAACTCAGCTGGGCCTGTTTTCCACCACCACCACTATAAATTGGAGGGGGGAAGGAGGTGGAGGACGGTGAGGAGGAAGAAGAATGCCGGTTCCTTTTTCCATGGCCAGATGTTGATTTGTTCAGGTGAGCGGCCTCCAGCTTGCAAGCGATTGCGGGGCCAATCTTCGCCCTTGGACAGCAAAAAGTGCGTGCAAACAAATACTAGGAAAAGGAAACCGGGTGGCAAGAGGGGGAAGGGAGGCAAACGGCTTGAGCAAGGCACGGCGGCGGAGGCACGATCGCGTCCCTTGCCGTGCAACGGCCAAGACGATTGAGCAGGCAATAACGTTCATCACAGAACTACACATGCCAGTTCCTTATTCCATGGCCAAATGTTGATTTGGCCAGGTGGGCGGGCTTCTGCTTGCAAGCGATTGCGGAGCCAAGCTCCGCCCATTCCCATTCTGTGCAATGGAGGGCCGCATGCTTCAACAATCAATTAATTTCCGAATTCGCTACGCTCTGATATTTCTCACGCTCTGCTGCAGCCACAAGGAAATCTGGCTGCACAGCCTGCTGGGGTATGTCTCTGCTGGGCGACTCCACCGCACCCCGTGCGGTCCTGGACCTTGAAGAGTGATGCGAGGTCGGCCAGTCTGGGGGCAGATGCCACGCGTGCTGGAGCAGCGCGCGCTCAGAACTGACGGCGGAGGCGCACGATTCCACGAGCGAGGTCGAGTGGGCTTCCTCCACGCCGTTCCGAATTGGCACATATCGAACACGGCATCGCGACATCGCCGATGCTGGGGATGCTGCATGACGGAACCTTGCCAGGCGTAGCTGCTGCCTGGGTTCTCATAGATTATCGGGAGGCCATGGTACGCACAGGCGCGAATCCCCCTCTGAGTCACCACGAGGGTTGCGTTTCCTACCAGAGGGCGCCCCAGCGCCTCGCCTCGAGGCGGGGATGCCCGTACATGTTCGCAGGGCATTTAGTAAAGATTCTGAGAGACTTGCGACCAGGTCGAACACGGGAAAGCTGCAAAATCGGCCACAATGAGGCGACTGGCGATCCAACCCACGATGGTTGCCCGACCGCCTTCAAGGCGACATCGAAAAACTCCGAATGCCGAAGGTCCATCTCAAGGCTGACGCTGCACAATCTTCTGAGCGCGCGGGCAACGTCGCCCGCGCCCGAAAAGAGGTCAACATAGCAAACACGGGGCACTGCCCAACTCACGCCGCATGGCGTCGCTCAGCCTAGCCCGCGCGGCGGCCGACGTCAGCTGCCTGATGCGCACCAGCGCGTCGCCCAGGCGACGGGGCCGCCCGGCCTTCAGCGCGCCGTCGCGGCCAGGTCGGGCGGCGGCAGCAGCGCTGGGCGCCCGCCCAGGACCGCCGCGGTCTGCGCCCCCGCCGCCTCGCCGCGCGCCCGCGCGCGAGGCGGCCGCCTTGCCGAGCTCGGCCCGGCACCGAGCGTGCTTCTTGCACCGCATGGTGCTCTTCGGATGAGAGTGGCGCAGCCGCTCCTGGATCTCGGCCAGGGTCCGCCGTCGGCGCAGCGCGTCGTCGCCGGCCGCGCCATGACGCGCCTGGCACGGGCGCGAGGGCGGCCGCCCGATCATGGCGGCCGCTCTCTCGAACCCCGCTCTGAACTCCGCGGCGGCGAACGGCCGCGGGCAGCTAGTCTCGCCCGACGCCCTCTTCAGCCGCCGAGGGCGCGCCATGCGGGGCCCCCGAGTCTCCGAGGCCCCCATGCACATGTACTCGTCCTCCAGGCACTCGTCGCCGCTGCTCTTGAGCAGCCCCTCGCGATGGCGCCACTCCGCCAGCTGCGCAAGCCGAACCGGGAGCTCCACCAGCGCCAGCTCCTGCAAGTTGAGCTGGTCGAAGTTCGCCCCCAGGGCCAGCGCCCGCATCGCCAGCTCGCGGCCCGACGCGCCCGCGTCGCTCGAAGCCAGGCCGCGCTCTGAGCGCCGCTCGGCACGTCGGGCGCGCGGGCGTGCGTCCTGCTCCTGGAGGAAGCGGGCGCGCCACATGGCGGCGCGCGGCCCCTTCACTGGCCACCTGAGCCGAACTGTCTCCGTCGCGCCCCGCACTGCGTCCTTGAAGACGCGCCGCCTCTCGCCGTCGAGCCCGCGCAGGATCGGCATCGCGCGCGCATCCATCGAGCTCTCGGCCTGCTTGTCGGCCACCGCCTTCAGCAAGTAGCACTTCCCGCCGGCCTTCGCGACCGCGAGCGCGTCGTAGGTCGTGAACCACTCGCAGCTGTCGAAGTCGGCCAGCACATTCACCTCGCCGTCGTCGTCGATCGCCACGATGAGCCACCGACGCCCAGGTCCAACTTCCAGCCTCCCTGGACCTCGCAACAGCCCTTCAGAACTGTCCCATCCAGCGGGCCAGGCGGAGCCGCCCGCACCAGCTGGCCCGCGTCCACCATCTCCCCCGCCGTCGGTCTCACGCCGCAATCCTCGCGGAGTTCCATAAACTCGTGGGGCGTCGGAGACCACTGGGAGCCGTAGTCCCAGACCCCCGACGTCATGATTTTTTCATGACGCGCAGAGGTCCAGACCCTTCCCCGGGACCGGTTTTTCGTCCTGAATCGTTTTTTGACGGTCCCGGGGCCCGGCGAGGGCCTCCAGAGGCCGAAAACGACGAAAAACCTCCGTCCTGATTTTTTCACGACGCGAACATGTCTAGGTGAACTCGTGGGGCGTCGGAGACCACTGGGAGCCGCAGCGGGGGCGAGCCCGGCGAGGTCCGTCCCCGCCCACTCGCTCGCGCCACAGCGGCCGGCCCGCCGGATCGCAGGGGACCCGCGCGTGGAGCCGCGGAACCTCCAGCGCGTGAGGGCAGATGTCGAGGTCCGGGGTAGCGGCCATCCACACCTGACTCCCCAGAGATCCCACGTACTGAAAAAATCAAGACGGAGGTTTTTCTAAACTTTCGGCCTCTATAGCGGCCCTCGCCCGGCCCTGGGACTGTCAAAAAACGACCCAGGACGAAAAACCGGTCCTGGTGAATGGGTCGAGATTTCCAGGGGCCCCGTCCTGAAAAAATCACGACGTCGGATCTCTGACTCGTACGACTCGCCACTTGCATCCCAAGCTCGGTCTCGTACTCGTCGCCGTCGCAGGAACAGCCCCGCCTGGTATTCCTCGTTCGCGCGCCACTGCACGAGCACTCGCGTCCCAGCCCGCAAAGCGAACGCCATGGTGGACGGTGCCCCCCGCCAGCACGCAGGCTGAGCAACAGCAGCACCCCACCAGCGCGCCCACGGCGAACACGACGCACAGGACTGCGCGGATACCGCCCAGCTGCTCGGCCGCGGCCGCCGGCTGGCCGCCCTCCTGTACACAAACAGACCGCCGAGCAGACGCGCCCAGCCCACCGCTATCTCGCTCGCCGCGGAGAGACCGGTCTGGGCCAAAAACTGGTCACGCATGGGGCCCGCCGCTCTCTAAAAGGCTTGAGCAGGGCACGGCGGCGGAGGCACGATCGCTTCCCTTGCCGTGCAGCGGCCAAGACGCTTGGGCAGGCAATAACGCTCACAGAGCTACACAGAGGAGGAGGAGGAGGAGGAGGAGGAGGAGGAGGAGGAGGAGGAGGAGGAGGAGCCCCTCCCCCTCCTACTCATGGTGGTGGCGGTGGAGAGTAAGCCCACTTTAAAGTCTGTGCTTATAACATGATTGGCCCCCCGCTCTGCGAGAAACGGTCCAGCGTGACGCGGCGCGGGGGGCACCCGAAGGCGCGCCGCGCCGCCTCCGCGGCGCTCTCGCCGGAGGCCCCGGGCGGCAGGAGCGCGTAGCGGCCCGGCACGGCGGGCGCGGCCGCGTCCAGGAAGCGCTCCAGGGCGACGAGCATGGCCTCCCCTGGGCTGCGGTGGCGGTAGAACTGCGCGCGGCGGAAGGGCCTGCCCTCCGCCTTCGCGGCGAACTCCGCGGCGAGGACGTAGGGCTGCTGCGTGGCGAGGAGGTGCGTGTCCTGGTCGAGGAACCGGTTGACGAAGGTCTGCGCCAGGAGCCTCGGGACGGCGGGTGCCCGCGAGGCGGGCCCGCTCAAGCTCCCAGAGATGAAGCGCGAGCGCCCCACTCCGGTCGGCACCGCCCAGAAGAAGACGACGAAGGCCGCCGAGCCGTCCTCGCTCCTCCGGCAGGTCGTCACTCCGCACGGGGCCGTGAAGGTGCTGGTGGCCGTGAGCCGCCGGCCCGCCTTGTCGCGATCCGGCATCGACGCGAGGGCAGCTGTCCCAACCCGCCCGGTCATCTTGGCCACCGGCTCGGTCTCCATGCTCACGCACCACGACCCCGCGGAGGGGCCGGGCGCGAAGGCGCGGACGCGCTGCGGGTGCTGCGGGGATCCCGAGTAGCAGTCGAAGGGCGCCGCCTGGTGGGCGAAGGGGCCGTGGTCGTAGTCCACGAGGTTCTCGAGCACGATGGCGAAGTCCAGCGGCAGGTCCCGCACGACCTTGGCCGCGGTCCTGTACCCGGACCCCTCGCGCATCTCGGGCGGCAGCTGCGGCTGCGCGGGTGCGCCGGCAGCGAGGGCACCACTGCCGCCTCTCGGCGGCTCAGGCCGTGGGAGGTGTGAGGCGGGGGTGTAGTACAGTCGGGGCGTTGACCTAAGGAACCCTAAATAAGGAACGAGGCCCCTTTCTTCCATAAGTTGAACCTCGATTTCACATCGAAAACCTGAGGAGAAAACCTGAGGCAAGCTGCGAAACACTTAAGGAACGCGGAGCCCCTCCCCAACCAAAAGGGTTCCTTCTTCAGGGCCCCGACTGTATCGGCAATATGGGGGCCTCCGGCTCTGGGCCGGCAGAGGGCCGGAAGAGGAGGAGGAGGAGGAGGAGGAGGAGGGGGAGGAGGAGGAGGAGGAGGAGGAGGAAGGAGGAGGAGAGGAGGAGGAGGGGGAGGAGGAGGAGGAGGAGGAGGGAGGGGAGGAGGAGGAGGAGGAGGAGGAGGAGGAGGAAGAGGAAGGAGGGGGGAGGAGGAGGAGGAGGATACAGAAGCCTCGGAGGCCTGCGGCCCCCCCGAAGACACCCCCCGCCCTCCTCGGAGGCCGCCCCCATCGCCCACCCAGAGATTCGACGTCGTGATTTCTCCCGTGCGGGGTCTCTCCAGGTCTCGACCCCTTCACAAGGACCGGTGGTTCCTCCTCAGTCGTTTTTTTTTTTGTTTTTTTGTTTTCTCCTCACGTCGACCACGGCGGCTGGATGCCTCGACAACTTCGCATGGCCACTGCCCCCAAAAACGACTGAGGAGGTTTCCTTCTCAGTCGTTTTTGGACGGTCCCGAGGCCCAGATAAGGGCCCCCACAGAAGCCGAAGATAGCGAAAAACCTCCCGTCTCCTAAGATGGGGTTATTGTTATTATTTGGACGCCTCCTACTCCTCCTCCTCCTCCTCCTCCTCCTCCTCCTCCTCCTCCTCCTCCTCCTCCTCCTCCTTCCTCTTCTCGTCCTCTCCTCTTCTCGTCTCCTCATACGAGACTTACTCATGTCCAGATTTACTCACACACAGACATGCTCACACTGACACCTACTCATACTCAGACTTACTCATACCCAGAGTACACATACACAAACTTACTCATACACAAACTTGCTCATATTGAGGCGGGTCTAAGGCGGGGCGCTGGTTTCAGCACCCCTAAGGGGCGCCGCCAGGGGTGTTTGCACGGGCCCGTTCGCGGCCAGTTTGTGGGGATGTCTCAAACGGTTTGCTCCTTCTCATGCCCAACATCCTTGGCTTTCAGAGCAAATTTTGAGGATGTCTCAGGCGGGGCGCTGGTTTCAGCACCCCTAAGGAGAGCCGCCAAGGGTGTTTGCACGGGCCCGTTCGCGGCCGTTTTGCGGGGATGTCTCAAACGGTTTGCTCGTTGTCATGCCCAACATCCTTGCAGATTCTGAGGATGTCTCAGGCGGGGCGCTGGTTTCAGCACCCCTAAAGGGAGCCGCCAAGGGTGTTTGCACGGGCCCGTTCGCGGCCAGTTTGTGGGGATGTCTCGGGCGGTTTGCTCGTTGTCATGCCCAACATCCTTGGCTTTCAGAGCAGATTTTGAGGATGTCTCAGGCGGGGCGCTGGTTTCAGCACCCCTAAGGGGAGCCGCCAAGGGTGTTTGCACGGGCCCGTTCGCGGCCAGTTTGTGGGGATGCCTCAAGCGGTTTGCTCGTTTTCATGCTCAACATCGTTTGCTTTCAGAACAGATTTTGAGGATGTCTCAGGCTGGGCGCTGGTTTCAGTACCCCTAAAAGGAGCCGCCAGGGGTGTTTGCACGGGACCGTTCGCGGCCAGTTTGTGGGGATGTCTCAGGCGGTTTGCCTGTTTTCATGCCCAACATCATTGGCTTTCAGAGCAGATTTTGAAGATGTCTCAGGCGGGGCGCTGGTTTCAGCACCCCTAAGGGGAGCCGCCACATGTGTTTTCACGGGCCCGTTCGCGGCCAGTGTGTGGGGATGTCTCAAGCGGTTTGCCTATTTTGCCAATTTTCATGCTCAACATCCTTCGCTTGGAGAGCAGATTGTAAGGATGTCTCAGGCGGGGCGCTAGTTTCAGCATCCCCAAGGGGAGCCGCCAGGGGTGTTTGCATTGGCCCGTTCGCGGCAATGTTGTAGGGATGTCTCAAACGGTTTGCTAGTTGTCATGCTCGACATCTTCTGCTTTCAGAGCAGACTTTGAGGATGTCTCAAGCGGGGCGCTGGTTTCAGCACCCCTAAGGGAACCGCTAGGGGTGTTTGCACGGGCCGGTTCGCGGCCGTTTGTCGGGGATGTCTCAAACGGTTTGCTCGTTTTCATGCCCAACATCCTTGGCTTTCAGAGCAGATTTTGAGGATGTCTCAGGCGGGGCGCTGGTCTCAGCACCCCTAAAAGGAGCCGCCAGGGGTGTTTGCACGGGCCCGTTCGCGGCCAGTTTGTGGGGATGTCTCGGGCGGTTTGCTCGTTGTCATGCCCAACATCCTTGGCTTTCAGAGCAGATTTTGAGGATGTCTCAGGCGGGGCGCTGGTTTCAGCACCCCCAAGGGGAGCCGCCAAGGGTGTTTTCACGGGCCCGTTCGCGGCCAGTTTGTCGGGATGTCTCAAGCGGTTTGATCGTTTTCATGCCCAACATCCTTGGCTTTCAGAGCAGATTTTGAGGATGTCTCAGGCGAGGCGCTGGTTTCAGCACCCCTAAGGGGAGCCGCCAGGGGGTAGGACACGGGCCCGTTCGCGGCCAGTTTGTGGGGATGTCTCAGGCGGTTTGCTCGTTTCCATGCCCAACATCCTGTCGCCCATGTGGACGCGCTATCATAGTCAAACGCTCATGAACAGACGCTCGCTACGGCATGACATAAAACATGATATACACATATGGGGAGCTCCACGCAGTGAGTACTCCAGATTTCGTAATAAAAGGGAGGGGGTCTGGACCCTCCAAGACAAGCCATTTCAGACCTCCCCCGTGGGAGAACCCTCCAAAACATCGTCCCCAGACCCCCCAGGCCCTCCAAGATAGCCTGGAAGAGACCCCCCCCCGAAATGAGACCCCCCTCCCTTTATTACGAAATCTGGAATGATTCATTGCCCGGGGGGGTCTGGGCTCGGAGGCCGCCCCCCTCGCCAACGAGCCCCCCCCCCCGCGGGCGCGCCAGCAAGCCTGGCAGCACCCACAGCAGGCCCGCCGCCTCCACCGCGGGCACCGCCTGCGCGCCGCACCCGGCGGCCGGCGCCGCGGAGCAGGCCGAGCCGCCCGGGGGCCGCGGCGCCTGCGGCACGTCGAGGCAGGCGCCCGTCTCGCCGTCGAAGGCCCAGCCGTGGTAGGCGCACTGCACGAGGCCGCTCGCCGTGATGCGGCCCTCCGAGAGTCGGGTCGGGCGAAAGGGGGGGATAGAAAAGGGGGGGGGTTTGAGCATCAGCTCGCGTCGCTGCTTTTCCCGGCGCCTCCCGGCGCCAGAATGGGCCCCTCGATGAGGCCGAAACCAGCCGCGTGCGGCAAATTTCGTACCCCCCCCTTTCCCAATCCCCCCCTTTCGTCCGGCCCGAGAGAGCGAGGCGAAGCGGTGCGGGCAGGCGTCGCGCATGGCCACCGGGGGGCGGCCGCCGGAGCGCCGCGCCACGCAGTAGTCCACGTCGAAGAGGGTCACCCGGGTGGGCCCGTCGGGCTCGAAGTCCTCCGCCCAGCCGACCGGGTACCACTGGCTCAGCCACGTGCCCGCGCCCCACTCCGGCGGCCCCTCGGCGCGCACCTCGCCCGCCGCCTCGCGCCGCCCGCCCCAGGGCCCCCGAGGCGCCACGGTTTGTCTTCAGGAGGCCGTCGGCCCCCCGGGGCCTGGACCCCTTCCCCGGGACCGGCTTGTCGTCCTGAGTCGTGTGTTATAGCGGCCCCGAGGCCCGGCGAGGGCCCCCGAAGGCCGAAACTATGGGGAAAACGGGCCCCGTCCTGATTTGAGAGGCCGAGCCGTTTTTGCCGGCCCCGAGGCCCGGCGAGGGGGCCCCTGAAGGCCGACACCAGGGGACCCCCCCCGTAATTTTTTTGCCTGTTCCAATACGGCCGAACATACGATCAAGACAAAAGTAGGTACGAAACCCGGCCCAGCTTTCGGAAAGCTTCGTACGACGAGCGTGGGCCGGGTGTCCGTGCTTACGCTGGAGGGGCGAACGCGCCCAAGAAACTGGGCCAACTTTCGGACAAGCTGGTTGAAAAACCTTGGCCCAGCTTTCCGGGAGGAGGTTTCTTAATCCAACACTCGGCTGTAACCCCAGCCATGCGACGTCCTGACATTTTTTCGGGACGGCGTCCCTGGAAGTCCCGCCCCTCTCCCCGGGACTGGTTCTTCCTCCTGCGCCGTTTTTCTTTGACGGCCCCGCGAGGCCCGGCGAGGGCCCCCCGGGGCCGAACATGGCCCAGAGCCTCCCGCCCCGATTATATATACACACGCACATGTATACAAGACTGCAGTGGCGCTGCGCGCCATGCACCTCGGTCCTTTGGAATTCGCACGCTAGCGGAGTGCGAGCGTGCGTGCATGCGCACACACATGCGTCTATAATACATAGTACATATGTACATATATATATATATATGTATAGATATATGTATATATACGTTTGTATTGATATGTACATGTATATGCAAATGGTCAGTGTAACTATGCGTGCGCGTACACATGCGTAAATCAGGCGGTAGTGGCCTGACCAATTGCTCATATCATCGCGCCACTAAAAAGGCGCGAAGGTCTCAGGCAAACGTGGCCAGACTACCATGGGGCAGTGCGTCGCCGAGGTCAGTGTTGCGAGGACGTCCCGGGTGAAAATGGCTTGAACACCTCCGCTCAGGGGAGGGCATATCCGGAGTCAGCCGGGCAAGGAAGTTTCAAGCGAGGAGTGGTCTGAACAGGTCTGCCCAGGGCATCCTTGAACTTAGAGTCGCGAGAAGTCGCACGCGAAAGTGGCGGAGCCACCATGGTGCAAGGCACTTCCGAAGTGAGACTTGCGAGAGTGTCTCAGGCGACAGTGGCTGGAACACCTCAACTCGGGGATGGACAGACCTCCCTCTAGTAAAACGTGGTTTAGTGAAAACGACTTCGTGCCCAAACATGGCGGGCGCAAGCCTGGAAAATAACGGCCACGGCGCCCTCTCGAAAACGGAAAACGGACAATTCACTAATCGACGTGTCACTGTCGGGGGTTCTGTCCACCCCCGATCAACAGAGAGTGTCTCGGGCCCCAGAGCTGCGATGATGTCTCAAGCGATAACAGCAGGACCGATGCGAAGCAAGGCGCTTCTGAGGTCGGAGTTGCGAGCATATCTCTGGCGAAGCGGATTAGACTACTTTCCGTTATCTCCTCTTCCTCCTTCCCTTTTTCCTTCTCTCCTCCTCCTCCTCCTCCTCCCCCTCCTCCTCCTCCTCCTGTTCCTCCTCCTCCTCTCCCACCTCTCCGCTTCTATTTTAGTCCATTCTCCCCATCCCTGGCGGCGCGGCGCGGCGCCGCTCGGCCTCTCTGCGAGTCAAGCGGCAAAGGGTGAGAGAATCCCCCCGAAGTAGGAAAGGTTTTTCCCAAGCCGCCAAGGGGGCCCGAAGGTAGTGCAAGAAACGGTGCAGGTTTTGAAATCCCCCAGGGGCTCCTCGGATTCGGCCGGCCCTCTCCGGCAAGGTAGGCAAGGGCGCCGCGTCCAGGTGCTCAATCCCCCGTATCCCCCTCCCCTCGTCTTCGTTCCCTCCTCCATGTCCCCCTCCTCCTCGTCCTCGCCCCCCTTTTCCCCCTCATCCTCCTCCCCCCTCCCCCCTACTTCCCCTCCCTTGATGCCCCCGCGTGGTTTTCGGGCCATGACTCGGGCCTCTGGGGGCCATGTTGGGATCTCGTGGTGCGCCTCTCGGGGCCCTCTGGGAGGCAGTTTTGAAGCCTCTTGGGGGTGTTTTGGGGTTCTTGGGATCTTTTGGGGGCCTCTTGGGGGCTCCTTGGGGCCTCTTGGGAGCCTCTTGGGGCCTCATGGGGCTCTCTCCGGGCATCTTGGGGCCCTCTCGCAGCGGAAAATTTAGTTTTTGAATTTTTGGGCGCCCTCTTGGGTGTCTCTTGGGGCCGTCTTGGTGCTCTCTTGGGCCGTCTTGGGCGCCTCTTGGGCGGTCGCGGAGCCCTGGACCGTGTTGGGGCCTTCTTGGGGGCCTCTTGGGCAGTATTGAGGCGATCTAGGGAGCCTCTTGGGACATTGTGGAGCGTCGGGAAGCGGGAACAGCGAAAAGAACAAAACATAGAAAAAAAAACACAGGAAAATCAACAATTGTAGCCTCTCGGGGCTCTCTTGGGAGGCCTCTTGGGGGTCTGGGGGCGTCTTGGACGCGTCTTGGGCAGTCTTGGGCCCAGATTGGGCGTCTTGGGCCGATCTTTGGGTGTCTCGGGGCCCTCTTTGGCCGTCGTGGGTTTTTTTTTTTCGCGTCGCACTCGCAGGACAGACACGGAGCACTCTGCAGGAGCGCCCCAAAGGCTCGGGGAGGCCGAAATTCGTTTGGGGGGGGGGCACTGTGTGCCGCTTTTCCGGGGTCCCCGGCCCTGTAAAAATATATGAATATGAATATGAATATGAATATATATATATATATATATATATATATATATATATACAAGACTGCAGTGGCGCTTCGCGCCATGCACCTTGGTCCTTGAAATTTGGTACGCAGGCGGAATAGCAGGAAGGTGAAGCCGACAATTTAGCGATAACTCTTGTTGCCTTTTCCGGCATCGCCGCTTTAACAATATGATTCGTTATCCTTCATCCATGCTTCTTTGTGTTTATTTTCGCCATCCTCCTCAGCTCTTTTCTGCGGAGGCTCCTCCTTGGAGAGCCTCTGGGGGCCTCACAAAAGTTGTTTCAGGCTTCCTTAAGGCCTTCTGGAGGCCTCCTGGGCGTATTCTGGGGGCCTCTGGGGGCTTCCTCGGGCCACCCTGCCTCCAGCCGCGGTCTCCCTGAACGACCGGGTCACGATTTGGAATGCTTCGGAGGGTGTCTTTGGTCCATCTTGGGCCGCCATGGGGCTCTCTGAGGGCCATCTTGGACCCGTGTTGTGCCGTTTTGGGGCTCTCTTGGACTGCCTGGAAGCCCTTTCGGATGGTTGTGGGCGATTTTGGAGCCTCCCAGGCGGCTTCGGACGCCCAGAAGACCGCCGTCTTGGAGCGTGGGGAAGCCGAAAAGAGGAGAACCCCAAAATTCACCAAAAAACAATGGAAAATCTATGATTTTTGCATCTGGGGGCCTTCTTGGGAGTGCTCTTGGAGGCCTCTTTGGGGCCGTCCTGGAGGCCTCCAGGGCCATCTTGAGGTCACGTCGGTCACTCTTGGAGCGCTCTTGTGCTGTCTTGGGGGTCCCTGGGACGTCTCCGATGACCCCCCTGATCGCCCTAGGTGTGCTGGGAAGGCTTGACAAAACGCCCTGCGAGGCCCAGGAACCGCTTCGAGGCCCGTCTGGAGGGTCCCAAAGCCCCAGATCCCGGGAGTCCGGTTTTGGGGGGACGGGTTTTCCCCCCGCCCGGGCTTATAAAAATATAAGAAGAGGAATATACATGTGTATTTATATATATTTATATATATATATAATATATATATTATAACACAAAACAAAACATAACGACGACGGCGAGCCAGACTCCTGGAGGGCGGGGCTCGCCCGCCGCCTCGCCGCCCGGCGCCCGCCCCGCGCAGCGCCGCCGCGCCCGCCCCGCCCGCGGTGCCGCAGCCGCCGCGGGCGCCCTGGCCTCAGACGCAGGCCTGCTCCTTCCTTCCTCCCATCCTCCCTCCTCCCCTCCTCCTCTCATCCTCACTTCCTCCTCCTCCTCCTCCTTCCTCTTCCTTCCTTCCTTCCTTCCTTCTTCCTTCCTTCCTTCTTTTCCTTCCTTTCCTTCCTTCCTTCCTTCCTTTTCCCTTCCTTCCTTCCTTCCTTACTTCCTAGTCGTCGTCGTCGTCGTCGTCGTCGTCGTCGTCGTCGGTCGTCGTCTCCTCCTCTCTCTCCTACTCCTTCCTCCTCCTTCCTCCCTCCTCCTCCTCTCCTCCTCCCCTCCTCCTCCTCCTCCTCCTCCTCCTTCCCTCCGCGCCGCGCGGGCACTGCCGCCGCCGGCCCCGCGGCCCGCCTAGGCCGCTGGGCGCCGCGAGCGGCGCCCGGGCGCCGGGCGCCGCCGCGAGCGGCGCCGCGGGCGCCGGCGCGGGCCAGGTCAGCGCGGCCAGCACGGCCAGCCTTCCCAGACAGACCCTGAGATCCTGGCGTTGCAATTTTTTTGCAACGGGCGTTTTCGCTCGATTTCGGGCCCCGGGACCCTCACAGATCGATCGGGCTCGAAAAGTGACGCGGCAAGATGAGGTCTGGGTCTCCGGGCGTGTTTTTTTTGCGATGTTGCATTTCTTTTGCAAAGTCGGATCTCAGGGAATAGAAGATTCGGGGCGGAGGTTTTTTTGTCGTTGTCGGCCCCTGGGGGGCCCTCGCTGGGCCCCGGGGCCGTCAAACAACGGAGGAGGAGGAGCCGGTCCCGGGGAAGGGGTCGGGACTTCCAGGGGCGCCGTCCTGAAGAAAAACAGGGCGTCGCACATGTCTGGT